GTTGGCTGTTAGCGGGGTTTGGTCCAAGTGTCGGTCAGTAGGTTAGGAGAGGAGAAAAGAGGTTTTAACTCGTTTCGAAAATGAATTGATGGTTTCGGTACGTTGCTGTCGATTTTTTTTTTACGTTATTTTCTTTAAGTTTCTGAAGAAAGTAAATAAAAATGAAGGTATGGTGGCTTATATGATTTCAAGATTATCAAAATGATCTGAAAAGTCGGCGATGCCCAGTTATCTCGAATCCTGGTGACCATCTGACAACGTACTTATTACGTCAAGGAATTTTCAGGTCCTTGGAATCCGAAAATGACGTAATTCCTATGATTGGCAACCACTGGCGAACAGACCAATCACAAGCCAGGATTCATTAAGTTGGCGAGACGAAACTCGCACGCTGATTGGCTGAGGGGGATCTTAACTACCCTACAACCACTAATAACTACCTTGCGCCTTTGAGATGTTGTGTCGCCAATTGGCAGTGATTTATGCTGGTTCGGTCGAGGAGTAATTTGGGGGTGTGGAGGAGAGGAGGATAATGAGGGAGGAAGAAAGAGGGAGAGAGCAGAGGGAACGGAGGGAAGGGGAAAGCAATATCACAAAGAGAGTTAATGTGAGATGAGAGATTGACGAGATACGCGGAAAAAATAAATTGTTAGTAATAAAGGAAGAGCTGTATATCCATATGTTTAGTACATAGTGAGGGTATACATGTGCACACACTCACAAATATATAAAATATATATACAGTTCCCAATATGGTAATCTGCACATTGCTGGAATATTCGGCATTATAACGTTCATAATGAAAGAGAGAGAGAGAGAGAGAGAGAGAGAGGGAGAGAGAGAGAGAGAGAGAGAGAGAGAGAGAGAGAGAGAGAGAGAGAGAGAGGGAGAGAGAGAGAGAGAGAGAGAGAGAGAGAGAGAGAGAGAGAGAGAGAGAGAGAGAGAGAGAGAGAGAGGGCATCCACATAAAAGTACAAAATATCGAAAATCTGAGGCAAACAGACAGCCAGACAATGAAACCAGCTTAAAGGAAGAGGATAACAGGAAGAACAAAAGCGGATAAACCACAATACAAATAAATTAACAATTTGATGGCGAACGCTAAAAACAAAAGCCTGCAAAATAATATAGACCAATTACATGTCATTACTATTGACCTCTGATATGTACAAGTGTTCAAAGGAAGGAAATAATCTATTATCATCAACAATAAAAAAAAAGTAAAATAACAAAAAGCAATGTAAATGACATAATTTCAACGATATGATTAAGCTCACATACAAATAAAACTTTGTTATAGGTTATATGAATGGACAAAAATCTGCTTTCCCAACTTGTACATCTAAGACCAGTAAACAGACCAAAACATAATTAGCAACAAGTGAAACCCCCCTATAAACCGGTTTTGCATTCATATTTATATTCTTGCAAATTACAAAAGAAAAGTTAGTAACCATTAAACGATCATAACCTCGGCACACACAATGCTAACGAGCTGTGTCTCTAATTGCACGCTGCAGTAAGCCACAATGCATACAGCAAGTGCAATAAAATACTGGAAGAGGAGCTAGTTAGGAAGAACTTCATGATTTCCTGCACGTGACTTTCTCTTCGTAGATGAATTAGAACGGGAAATTGTATTTATATATTTCAAGGACTGTACGGAAAGAATTGGAACTTATAAGCAAATACCTTTTTAGTTACATCTGGAGACACACACACACACACACACACACACACGCACACACGCACACGCACACACACACCGTAATATTCCTCCACGAAAAAGAATAAGCCTTATAACGTTGTGTGTAATTCCAATACAATGGCCTAATAAAAACGACACATTATACATTTACCCACAAACCTCGATTCCCATCCACAACAAAAGGATTAATCCAAAAAACCACTTTCACACAAAAAGCCTTGTAATTATCCCGAGGGCGCTCTTCGTGGCTTAAGTCTGCCCTAACCTCGAGTCCCTAAACTCCCCCCTAAAATCCCGAACCCCCTTAAATCTATGTCCTAAAGCCCTTGTGCCCCCCCCCCCAAGAACCCTTATGTTTAGAGCCCTTGTTTCCTAAAATGTCCTAAAACTTTAAGTCCTACAACCCAGTGTGCCTTGCAGCCCGAATGTCCTAAAAACCCGAGTCCTATCACCACCGCCCGCGTATGATAGACGGTGCATCCCCGATTCCCGCGTGTCCTACCTAGACTCGTGTGTCCTAAAGGTCCGTGTCCTGGTTCTGCCGCGTTTCTGATGAAGCAGGGTAGTAATTAGCTGGTGCTGGGTGGTCGTTACCTTAAGGGAGGTGGTGGTTAGGAACCTGGCGAGGCGGCCTTTGGGAGACGATGCGTTGTTAAGGTTAAAAGGCTTTGGACAAGAACGGGCGCGTGGTTAGGTTAGGTGACAGGGTGAAGATTTTTGGCTTTCTTATGAGCTTATCACCTGTTTTTCTTCTTCTTTTCTTATTTTTTAAGTATTAAAGGTAAAGATTCTGCGGAGTTTTGAGTAATGTATTTGTAAAACTAAAAAAAAAAGAAAAAAAAGAAAAAAAGAAACTGGATCGCATTTGTTTCACTTCATATTTCGTCTGTATCCAAGTGCATAAAGGAATCGAATGCTACAGACATGCCGACATCCTGGTACGTAACCCTAAGTGGCTGTCGACCGAACATGAGAATAATTTGATGGTATAGTTTATTATTAAGGCGAGGGTGGAGACGTGAAGGATATAGGATTTTACCCTTATAATGACAAGTCTCAACTCCCTCTCATCCTAAGGGCATATCCCAATCTCTCTTTCTCTTCCCTTTTTTACCAAATCATGGAAAGATGCCCTTTGGCAAGTGGGTTAGAGGGACACAGAAAGAAAAACATTGACGAGTGGCAGGTTCTGACGCTGAACTATAAAAGGTTTTGGATGCCTTGCAGTGTAAACGTTCATTTTAATGGGTCTTCTCATGCAGAAAGGTTAGCATGGCATATCCTTAACCCCGAGGTACCATCATAGCAACCGCGGGTCCATTCTTTCCCGAGAAAAAATACAAAACGCTACATTTGAAATTCCTCCCACCTGCACTTTACTATTCAATTTTCCCGCCCAACCTGTGTAAAGGACCATGAGTCTAAGTGCTACACGCTGTTATCCGAAGCACGAACACAGACCGCAATTAATTAAGTCCAGGTAAATCTGAACCCACAAGCCGTTTAAAACAAAGTATCATGGCGCTTGCTAAATGTAACCATAGCAGCACAATACCTCAGGGTCCCTGGCCACGCCCCGCGGACCCGCCCACGCCGTTGTTAAAAGACGAACGGACGTGTAATGAGCGATGAACCCCCTTGTTTTGGGCCGCGTGAAGAGAGGGGGGGCGGGGCGGAGTTAGGAGGCCTAAATTGCCTGTGCTATATCGCGGAAATTTGCACTAATGTCTTGAATGGAATATGTGAGCCTTTTGAATTCTGAATAATGGCCGGTACGAGGTTTATGATGGGTGCACCGCGTTTGGGTTAAATTTAGCTTTTTGCCCACGTGGATGGCCAGTACTTTCGCGCAGCACAGGTACTGATGCATATTTGCGCATAGTGCAGGGATTTATGTAAGTCATCCCCTGTAAAATTATGATGATGGTATTGGGAGCAGTAAGAGTAATGATGGTCATTATCGATAATACAAATAAGAATAGTTGTAGCCGCACTGGAACCATAATATAAATAATATGTTTCTCTTTCTAAGAATACTACCGATCACAATCTATTACTCCAACAACAGATGATTTCACCCTACTATTACCATCAGCAGAAATGATAATACAGAATGACCATCAAAATTATATCAAACTATGAGAAAAACAAATCAGGCAAGTGACCAGCCCCACTGCAAGGACGTTCAACTTCCAGATAAGCAGTTTGTAGGTTATACGCTCTTTCTCCTTATCCTTTTCCTTTCGTTTTCTTTGCGTTTTATTTCTTTTTCTTACTTTTGTGTATAGTTTCCTATTTTCTTTCTTCTCCTTTTCCTCCTCCATCTCCTCCTCCTCCTTCTTCTTCGTCCTCCTCCTCGTCTCCTCTCCGTGTCTCTATTCCTCCTTCCCATCCTCTTCCCCATCCCCTCTCCCCCTCCTCCCCTCCCCCCTCCCTTTCCTCTCCTCCTCCTCTTCCCCCTCCTCCTCTTCCCTCTCCCCATCCTCCTCCTCCTCCTCTTCCCCCTCCTCCTCCTCTTCCCCCTCCCCATCCTCCTCCCCTTCCTCCCCCCTCCCCCCACGTCTCTCCTCCTCCTTGCAGACGGGGGAAGCAAGGAAAACCCCTTCCCTAATTGATTCCGCTCACATCGCGAAGCACAATTTAATATCACATGGCGCCGAACCAGCGAGCGCGCGTGGGAAAGTTGGGCGTGAGAAAGTAGTTTAGTGGGGATTTGGGGAGAAGGAGGAAGCCGAGGTGGGAGGGAGGGAGGGAGGGGTGAGGGGTGTGTGTGAGGGAGGGAGGGGTGAGGGGTGTGTGTGAGGGAGGGAGGGGGAGGTTAGATAGCTGGAAAGAGTGGGCGAGGAGAGATAGCGGAAAGAAGGAGGGGTGGGGGGGAGGAAGAGAGAAAGCGAGATGGTGGAGAGGGGGACTGGGGGGAGGAGTGGGAAGGAGATACGGGAAGGAGAGGGAGAGTTGGGGAGGAGAGATAGCGAGATGGTGGAGAGATAGCAAGAAAGGAGGAAAGGAGAGGGGGTGAAGAGAGAGGGGGTGGGGGGGGGTGAAGGGAATGATCTGAAAATAGGAGGAGAGGACGAAGAAATAGAGAGAGAGAGAGAGAGAGAGAGAGAGAATAAGGGTTAAGGGTTACGAAGGACATCTCGACGAATTAAAACTCATACTACTACTATTAATAATAATGATAATGATAATAATGGTGATGATGATTATAGTAATGGTAGTGGTGGTGGTGATTACAATAATAACAATAATTATAATATTAATAATAATAATAGTAGTCCCCCTCCTCCTCCTCTTCCCCCTCCTCCTCCTCTTCCCCCTCCTCCTCCTCTTCCCCCTCCTCCTCCTCTTCCCCCTCCTCCTCCTCTTCCCCCTCCTCCTCCTCTTCCCCCTCCTCCTCCTCTTCCCCCTCCTCCTCCTCTTCCCCCTCCTCCTCCTCTTCCCCCTCCTCCTCCTCTTCCCCCTCCTCCTCCTCTTCCCCCTCCTCCTCCTCTTCCCCCTCCTCCTCCTCTTCCCCCTCCTCCTCCTCTTCCCCCTCCTCCTCCTCTTCCCCCTCCTCCTCCTCTTCCCCCTCCTCCTCCTCTTCCCCCTCCTCCTCCTCTTCCCCCTCCTCCTCCTCTTCCCCCTCCTCCTCCTCTTCCCCCTCCTCCTCCTCTTCCCCCTCCTCCTCCTCTTCCCCCTCCTCCTCCTCTTCCCCCTCCTCCTCCTCTTCCCCCTCCTCCTCCTCTTCCCCCTCCTCCTCCTCTTCCCCCTCCTCCTCCTCTTCCCCCTCCTCCTCCTCTTCCCCCTCCTCCTCCTCTTCCCCCTCCTCCTCCTCTTCCCCCTCCTCCTCCTCTTCCCCCTCCTCCTCCTCTTCCCCCTCCTCCTCCTCTTCCCCCTCCTCCTCCTCTTCCCCCTCCTCCTCCTCTTCCCCCTCCTCCTCCTCTTCCCCCTCCTCCTCCTCTTCCCCCTCCTCCTCCTCTTCCCCCTCCTCCTCCTCTTCCCCCTCCTCCTCCTCTTCCCCCTCCTCCTCCTCTTCCCCCTCCTCCTCCTCTTCCCCCTCCTCCTCCTCTTCCCCCTCCTCCTCCTCTTCCCCCTCCTCCTCCTCTTCCCCCTCCTCCTCCTCTTCCCCCTCCTCCTCCTCTTCCCCCTCCTCCTCCTCTTCCCCCTCCTCCTCCTCTTCCCCCTCCTCCTCCTCTTCCCCCTCCTCCTCCTCTTCCCCCTCCTCCTCCTCTTCCCCCTCCTCCTCCTCTTCCCCCTCCTCCTCCTCTTCCCCCTCCTCCTCCTCTTCCCCCTCCTCCTCCTCTTCCCCCTCCTCCTCCTCTTCCCCCTCCTCCTCCTCTTCCCCCTCCTCCTCCTCTTCCCCCTCCTCCTCCTCTTCCCCCTCCTCCTCCTCTTCCCCCTCCTCCTCCTCTTCCCCCTCCTCCTCCTCTTCCCCCTCCTCCTCCTCTTCCCCCTCCTCCTCCTCTTCCCCCTCCTCCTCCTCTTCCCCCTCCTCCTCCTCTTCCCCCTCCTCCTCCTCTTCCCCCTCCTCCTCCTCTTCCCCCTCCTCCTCCTCTTCCCCCTCCTCCTCCTCTTCCCCCTCCTCCTCCTCTTCCCCCTCCTCCTCCTCTTCCCCCTCCTCCTCCTCTTCCCCCTCCTCCTCCTCTTCCCCCTCCTCCTCCTCTTCCCCCTCCTCCTCCTCTTCCCCCTCCTCCTCCTCTTCCCCCTCCTCCTCCTCTTCCCCCTCCTCCTCCTCTTCCCCCTCCTCCTCCTCTTCCCCCTCCTCCTCCTCTTCCCCCTCCTCCTCCTCTTCCCCCTCCTCCTCCTCTTCCCCCTCCTCCTCCTCTTCCCCCTCCTCCTCCTCTTCCCCCTCCTCCTCCTCTTCCCCCTCCTCCTCCTCTTCCCCCTCCTCCTCCTCTTCCCCCTCCTCCTCCTCTTCCCCCTCCTCCTCCTCTTCCCCCTCCTCCTCCTCTTCCCCCTCCTCCTCCTCTTCCCCCTCCTCCTCCTCTTCCCCCTCCTCCTCCTCTTCCCCCTCCTCCTCCTCTTCCCCCTCCTCCTCCTCTTCCCCCTCCTCCTCCTCTTCCCCCTCCTCCTCCTCTTCCCCCTCCTCCTCCTCTTCCCCCTCCTCCTCCTCTTCCCCCTCCTCCTCCTCTTCCCCCTCCTCCTCCTCTTCCCCCTCCTCCTCCTCTTCCCCCTCCTCCTCCTCTTAATAGTAGTAGTAGTAGTAGTAATAATAACAACAACAATAATAACACATTAACAATAATGATAATCATAATGATATTACAGCAACAACTAAACTAATGATAAGGATGGTGAGGATAAAATAAAAAAATACAGCAATCACTACTACTGATGAAACTGATAAAAACAAATAATAACGATAAATGTAGTTGAATAACGATAACAGACTAACAATAATGCCGATACTAAATCATCATCATCATCAACAACAACAACAACAACAACAACAACAACAACAACAACAACAACAACAACAACAACAACAACAACAACAACAACAACAATGAACGACGGAACCACTTCCCATTTTCATTCCTCAAAAATGTATTCCTTTGACGAGGCGCATATTTTAAAAATCACGTATCCCACATTTGTTAATTGATAAAACAAACTCGCAGGCGTAATGAAGCCTAATTAATGCAGGTAATCAAACGAGGGATGGCGGAGCGAATAACGTATTAATTCTCGCCTTCTCTCTTGGTGATTACGAATGCAAATGAAGGAGAAAATTTCCCGCTCGTTTCTCGAAGACCGTCGACCGGCCCTCAGGTTCCCGCCATTTTTCTGCTGCCAATGGACGTCGCCGGAAAGAGTCGTTAGCTCGTTCGAATGATGGTCGAGGTGTCAGGTGATTTAAATCTGATTTGATGGTTTGGTTGGTGGGGGTGGGGGTTGGGGTTGGGGGGGAGGGGTGACGTTTTCGGTTTGTTTGTTTGTTTTTCTTATTTTTGTTATGTCTGTTTTGTTCTTTTAATTGATCTTTGTTTGACATTTCTCTTTCTCTTTCTCTCTCCCTCTTCCTTTCCTTTTTTCTTTTTTTTTTCAGTCTCTCTCTCTCTCCTTCCTTCCCTCCCTCCCCCTCCTTTTCTCTCTCCCTCCTTCCTTTCTTCCCTCCTTCGCCCTCCCTCTCTCTCTTTCACTCTCCCTCTCTCTCTCCTTCCCCCCCTCTCTCTCCCCCTATCTCCCCTCCTCCTCCCCCTCCCTCCCCCCTCTCAGCCCTACACCCCCTCCTCTCTACACACACACGCGCACTCACGCACACACCTGCCTGAACCGTTTTGTTTCCGCCTGCCCCCGTCCCCCTCCCTTCCCCTCCCCGCTCCTTTCCTTCTAATCGCTATTTCCTCTTTTCCTCCCTCCCACCCTTGCTCCCTCCCTCCCTCTCTCTCTCCCTTCCTCCTACCCTTTCTTCGTCCCTCCCTACCTCCCTTCCTCTTACCCTTCTTCTCTCCCTTCCTTCTTCCCTCCCTCCCTCCCTCCGCTTTCCTCTCTCCCTTCCTCCTACCCTTCCTCTCTCCCTCCCCTCTTCCCCTTACTCCTACTCTTCCTCTCTCCCTTTCTTCATCCCTTCCTCTCTCCCTCCCTTCTTCCCTCCCTCCCTCCCTCCGCTTTTCTCTCCTTATCTTCACCAAGAAATCATGTTGATGGGCGTATTGTGTGGGCGTGGGCGTGGTTGATGACGTGGACATGTGTTGATGATTTCCTCCTCCTTACCCCCCCCCATCCCCTCTCTTCCCTGTCTTCCTTCTTTGTCCAGAGAGAGAGAGAGAGAGAGAGAGAGAGAGAGAGAGAGAGAGAGAGAGAGAGAGAGAGAGAGAGAGAGAGAGAGAGAGAGAGGAGAGAGAGAGAGAGAGGAGAGAGAGAGAGAGGAGAGAGAGGAGAGAGAGGAGAGAGAGAGAAGAGAGAGAGAGAAGAGAGAGAGAGAGATGAGAGAGAGAGAGAGAGAGAGGAGAGAGAGAGAGAGAGAGAGAGAGAGAGAGAGAGAGAGAGAGAGAGAGAGAGAGAGAGAGAGAGAGAGAGAGAGAGAGAGAGAAAGAGAACGAGAACGAAAAAGAAAGAAAAAGAAAAAGAAAGAAAGGGAGAAAATAAGAACACGAAAACGAATAAGAAAAAGAAAAAGAATGAGAGAAAAAAAGAACACGAAAACGAATAAGAAAGAGAAAAAGAAAGAGAATTAAATAAAATAACACATAAACGAACAAGAAAAAGAAAAGAGAAATAAAAACAAAAATCCTCACCAACTCACCTTTAAAGAACAAGGAAGGAAAACCCAGAGAAACAAGAGGAAAACACGAACCCCGAATAACCGTCTCCTACCAGCACGTACACAGTCTTCCTTGACCGGATGTTCTGACAGGAAGTCTTACACCCGAAAAAAGCCAGTCGTTTCGCCCCCCACCCCCCCTCGGCTCCCGCTCGCCTCGCCTCGCTCCCTGGCCTTTGTATTTTTTGTTTGTTTACTTTCTTAGTTCTCTTGCTTTCTGTGTGTTTGTGTTTGTTTGGGGGTATTGTTAGTAGTAGTAGTAGTATAGTAGTAGTAGTAAGTAGTAGTAATAGTAGTAGTAGTAATAGTAGTAATAGTAGTAGTAGTAGTAGTAGTACAGTAGTAGTAGTAGTAGTAGTAGTAACAGTAACACTAACATTAGTAATAATAGTAGTAGCAGTAATAGCAGCAGTGCTGGTATAAGTGGTAGTACTAAAAGGAACAACAACCATTATGATACTTAATAAGGAAACGTAGTGATTAATACTAATAGTTCAGCAACACGTAATAACGGTCGCTTATACTTCGTCACTGCAACAGAAACCACAACAAGGACAACTACAGCAGCAACAACAAAAACAACAACAACAACGACAACTACAACAATAACAGCAACTACAGCTAGCAACAGCAAAAAAAACAACACCAACTACAACTACAACAGAGACATCAAACCTACGTGTCAAAATGAAAAGGAAACGGAAAGAAAAGAAGATGACGATGTTAAAAGGACGAAGACACAAAAGAGGAAGTGAGAGAAAGAAAAAAAACACGAAAACGAATAAGAAAAAGAAAGAGAGAGAGAAAAAAAAAGAATACGAAAACGAATAAGAAAAAGAAAAAGAAAGAGAGAAAAAAGAAAAAGAGAGAAAAAAAACACATAAACGAATAAGAAAAAGAAAGAAAAAGAAAGAGAGAAATAACAACAAAAACTCTCACCAACTCACCTTTAAAGAACAAGGAAGGAAAACCCAGAGAAACAAGAGGAAAACACGAACCCCGAATAACCGTCTCCTACCAGCACGTACACAGTCTTCCTTGACCGGATGTTCTGACAGGAAGTCTTACACCCGAAAAAAGCCAGTCGTTTCGCCCCCCACCCCCCCCTCGGCTCCCGCTCGCCTCGCCTCGATCCCTGGCCTTTGTATTTTTTGTTTGTTTACTTTCTTAGTTCTCTTGCTTTCTGTGTGTTTGTGTTTGTTTGGGGGTATTGTTAGTAGTAGTAGTAGTAGTAGTAGTAGTAGTAGTAGTAGTAGTACAGTAGTAGTAGTAGTAGTGGTAGTAGTAGTAGTAGTAGTAGTAGTAGTAGTAGTAGTACAGTAGTAGTAATAGTAGTAGTAGTAATAGTAGAAGTAGTTGTAGCAGCAGCAGTAGTAGTAGTAGTAGTAGTAGTAGTAGTAGTAGTACAGTAGTAGTAATAGTAGTAGTAGTAATAGTAGAAGTAGTTGTAGCAGCAGCAGTAGTAGTAGTAGTAGTAGTAGTAGTAACAGTAACACTAACATTAGTAATAATAGTAGTAGCAGTAATAGCAGCAGTGCTGGTATAAGTGGTAGTACTAAAAGGAACAACAACCATTATGATACTTAATAAGGAAACGTAGTGATTAATACTAATAGTTCAGCAACACGTAATAACGGTCGCTTATACTTCGTCACTGCAACAGAAACCACAACAAGGACAACTACAGCAGCAACAACAAAAACAACAACAACAACGACAACTACAACAATAACAGCAACTACAGCAGCAACAGCAAAAAAAACAACACCAACTACAACTACAACAGAGACATCAAACCTACGTGTCAAAATGAAAAGGAAACGGAAAGAAAAGAAGATGACGATGTTAAAAGGACGAAGACACAAAAGAGGAAGTGAGAGAAGAAGAAAAAAAAGGACATTGACCAGGAGGGAAGGAAGGAAGAGGGAGATGAGACAACGTGATAAAGACGACAGGAAGCACATGTTGAAAGAGAGAAGAGGAGAAGGGAGGGGAGGAGAAAGAAAGATTATCATGGCTCGAGATCTAGGGAGAGATGTAGGAGGAGGGTGAGAGAGAGAGAGAGAGAGGGAGAGAGAGAGAGGGAGAGGGAGAGGGAGGGGGAGGAGGGGAGGGGGAGGGAGAGAGAGGAGAGAGAGAGAGAGAGAGAGAGAGAGGAGAGAGAGAGAGAGAGAGAGAGATGAGAGAGAGAGAGAGACGAGAGAGAGAGAGAGAGAGAGATAGAGAGAGAGAGAGAAGGAGCTGGAAAGGGAGAGGGAGAGGGAGGGAGGGAGGCAAACAAGGAG